TTAAAAAGGTGTTAAAGGCAGAGCTAAACCCTTAGCTAATCAGAGAAGAAACCATCAAGACATTCGCACAGGGAATCGTTAGCCCTTCCAAAATAAACCGTGCCAACGCAATGGGGACGGTTGTATTATGACCCTGTTGAGTATTTTACAGCTAAATTCCTATTTTTCCAGCATATAAATGGCCGAACAACCACAGCAAGGTACTTAGAAGACGTCAGGAGGCAGCCAATCGATCCTGTGGCAGAACAGAAGCCCATTGATGCCGGGGGAAATGCCGTACAGGCAGGTCTGGCACACAGACACCCAGGGCGGCGTTTCCTATGGAAAACTCCTGGGAGGCTTTGGAATCTCAGGCTCTGCTTAAAGGAAAGGCAGCCGTGCCAACCCGCCTGAAATCAGCCTCGGAAACGGCTCACGGAGAACGTGCCAGCTCAGAGGCAAATCCCTCGTACTTACCTCGGGGTAACAACAAAGGCTGGATGAAATTTTACTCATTCATTAACAAAAAGGACTTTGCCCAGCGACACACGTGGGTGGGATTCCAGTCGGGTGACATGATGCTTTTGGCACAAGGACTTTGGCCCCCAAGGATGGCAGCCCTGGGGCATGACAAATGTAGGCATTGCACCGCAGCAGGCCACAACCATGTACTTCATCTGCTGACTCAAGAGGAAGAATGCAGAGCCTACAAAAATGAAAGTTCAGCCCAAATCCCAAGATGGTACATCTCACAGGACAGCTCTTCAGGCAAAGACTTGTGATTAGAATTGTTCTTGTGAAAATACTGGCTGATTTTCAACCACATTTATAGGGAGGTATATCATAAAATGATCAAATGGTTGGATTAAAAGGGACCTTAAAGATGACCTAGTTTCAACCCCCTGCCATGGGCAGGGACATCTCCCGCTAGAGCAGGTTGCTCAAAGCTCCATCCAACCTGGCCTTGGACACCTCCAGGGATGGAGCATCCACAGCTTCTCTGGGCAACCTGGGCCAGTGTCTCACCACTCTTAGAGTGAAGATCTTCCTGATTTCTAATCTAAATCTCCCCTCTTCCAGTTTGAAGTCATTACCCCTTGTCCTGTCACTACAAGCCCTTGTAAAAGTCCCTCCCCAGCTTTTCTGCAGGCCCCTTTCAGACACTGCCAGGCCCCCAGCAGGTCTCCCCAGCTGGAGCCTTCTCCTCTGTGGCTGCCCCAGCCCAGCTCTCTCCTGCTGGGCTCCCAGCAGAGGGGTTCCCCCCTCGGGGCATTGCTGGGGCTCCTCTGGCCCCGCTCCAGCAGGTCCCTGGCTCTGCTGTGCTGAGGACTCCAGAGCTGCCCCAGCACTGCAGGGGGGTCTCACAGAACTGGCAGAGGGGCAGGATCCCCTCCCTGTCCTGCTGCCCACACTGCTGGGGGTGCAGCCTGGGCTACAGTTGGCCTCTGGGCTGCACTAAGGCGCATATTTAAGGTGTTTCAGTGGTCTCACTTCAGAAACCTACTGGAGGAACAAAAGTGACCTCTCAGCACATTTGGACAGCGTTATGCTGTGATTTCTGCGTAACCCCATGCTCCAGTGAGGTCAGTGGCAAACCTCTAACTCTTCTGTTTAAGTGTGACAGAATCTTCATTTCTCCTTCTCCTGCGGCATTTCGTTTCTTCTCTCTGCCCTCCTTCCAAAACCGAAAGCAGCACGCATCAGGGCAGATGATTTCCTAGATCTCACTCAGCCATGGAAATCCCTGAACGAATCCTCACTTTTCAGGTGAAAAACGAATGTTGACACCTGTCCACGAGATCACCATGCAGCCCCGGGGGTTATTTTCTTGTTGAGGGCAGTGTATTTAAGGATGTGGTTGAGACAATGCATTTTCCGTTTGACTTCAGTTTGACTTTCAGTTTGAAACAGAGCTGCCACTCTTCTCGTTAAACCCTATCCTAGAAACAAGGGGTGATTTTTAGAAGCACCACCAACCTGTCTGTGGCTCGGCAGGTGAAGGATTTCCACCTTCCACCTCTTAAAATCCCCACGGTCGTGACCAACGAGCAAGGGTTCCCCTTCCTCACTGATTTTCTGAAAACCCCCGTGAAGCATTCACTTTCTCCTTACAGAAAGTTCCCAATATTCTGGTTTTTTTAAAGCAGCTTGTAATCCTAATTGCTGTCGGTATCTTTGGGAGATCAAAGGGAGGATGTCTGTGATTCTTTGTATTACTCACGGCTACATTAGCCCGGCGATCACATATTCATTTATTTTGGTTTAAGAGGTAACAGTCTCCTTTCACTGCACGCACATAATTACTGTAAGCACGCAGGGGACTTGCCAAATGATGCGTGGGGGGGGAGGAGAATCTTTGAAGAAAATTGTTCAAACGTAATTTAGTTCACTAATTGGCAAGGGACCGTTACTAACGAATTGCTTCTGTTTTATGTCAGGAGTGAATCAGGTTGCTGATGTGTAACATACATTAAGTCAGTTAATGAGTGTTAACTAGAAATGCGACTGAAACACAAGAAAAAGGGTTTTTTTACCTCCAGCTAGCCCAGCAGAATTGCTAATAAATAAAAGGATATGTGTAAGTGGCTTATACGATTCCAATCTGCAGTGGAAAGGCTTTTCTTAGAATCTGATGGTAACCACAAGTTTGTGGGAAAGAAAAATCAGATGCTTACCGGGGCAGCTCATCGCAAGTCACTTTATTTCTAACCAAGCCTGAAATGAAAATGACTAAAAGTCATTACCGTAAAATAGCTGATTAGAAGCCAACGTGAGCTGAGACAGTGAGTCCCTGGCCGTGGCTACAAGACCAAGACCCCATGCAGCCAACTAGGCACTGGGTGTACTCGGTGGGGACTGTGGCACTCTCACTACATGGTCGAGGCAACTTGCGGCACCTTCGCTGTGGCATGAGACACCCTGCAGCTTCCAGTGGGCACCAGGCAAGCAGACATGCCCCAAGGCCTTGTGGAATCATGGGTGGTGCAGGAGAAAGAGTGACTTGTTGGAGCAGCCACCATCACAGACACGTTTAACTTTCTCCTCTATGCATGGCAAGGCTTTGGGTGCAGGCAGGAGGCAGCGGACTGAAGGACCAAGGAAGTCCAGCAAAGCCAGGGCAAAGATTTCAGGTCAAGGCAGGTCCTGAGCTGTAGGTGAAGGTGGTTGGCCTCCTGTGGATGTGCAGGCAGGAGAACACACATCATCACAGAATCTGGGCAGAAGGAAGATTGCTGGTTCGCTCTGGCATGTGAACGAACTGGCTTATTAGGCCACAGGTGCAAAAATGAGAACACAGGACTGGAAGTGAGGATAAAATGGAGAACTCTCACGTTCTGCAAGTTTTGTGAAATAGGCATCAAGCCATGGAACTGCCAGACACTGCTGCAGGCTGAGGGACAGCCCGTGGTCTGTCCCCCTTGGGCCAAGTAAGGACAGCTGTGGTATCAGCACTAGGATTGCCAGGCACTGCTCAGCTACCTGGAGAAGCAGCTCAGCTGAGCATCTAGAGGTGCTCAGCACCCTCACTACCTAGTCAGCCAGTTCCAGTCTGGTTTTCAGCTCTTTCAGATGGCCAACCAGAATAAAAGCACAAGGAAGATGTATTGATGCCCATCTTTCATCAAGCCAAGGAGAGATCACTGCTTCAGCAGCAAGGAAGATCCCTGATGTCTGGAGCCAGCCTCAAACCCTGCCACAGCAGAAGACATTATCAATGGCAACAGGGAACCTGGCGTGCCAAGCAATGGCACTGCTGGCTGATGTCCTTCCAGCAGATGCACTATGGGTCAGACTCCTGCCAAACGACCCTCACTGCTTCTCACAGAGCCATCTGATGTTCCCCACAAAAGCAACGCCTGACATCCCAAACCACTGCTGCTCTTCAGGCCCTGTCCTGGAACACCTCTGCTGCACCTCTGAAACACCAGGGATGCCGCTGCACTACCGGGTGCATCATCCTGTTGAACTCTAGTGCTTCCATTTCCCCATCACCTCAAGACCTGAATGCCTCTGGGCAATCAACATGACTTTGGGAAGAAGGCTCCCTACATTCCCTTCTGCACCGTTTCCTATTTCAGTGTCTTTTTTGTGATGTGCATGAAGTGATGCAAAGGCTGTTCCCTGAACCTCTTTTATAAAATGTCTAAGACCAAGTAAGCCCATTTGCTCCTCCCACTCCAGCAACAGCCAGTAGGTGTTGACAGAGCTCCTGCCAGGTAACCCACATGACACAAAGCACAGCACCGTGACCCCCCAGGGGCACAGACGTTTTTGCCTTTGTTGCTCTCGTTCTCCTTACCTGCATTTGCAACCACAAGGTACTCTTATTCAAATGAGGTTTTCAGCGTGGTGCATTGCAACACAATTTCTGTCCCACAACTAAGTCCCTGGGCACAATGGGGGTTGCTGTTGTAGAAATAAGCTGATAAGACACTCATAGCAACATTGCTTGCAGAGTCAGAAAAACAACATCCAGCACAGCAAAAAATGGGTATAGATTGCTTTATCTCTGTATTCAGTTTAGATAAAAAACGTGCTTTGAAAGAAAAAAAAAAATCTAAGCTCCGGAAACAGTAGATAGGGTGAAGTTAAGCACAATCTAGTGAATCACAAGACTTGCTGTCTGCTGGCATTGATACCCCAGAGAGCTTGTCCTCAAAACAGTGCCACCAAATCCTGGTGACATACCAGCAAAGGACAGTCCAGCCACAGAGGAGGAAATTTAGCTGGGGCTCAGGGGGTGAGGGAGAGAGGGAGAGAAAGAAGCACGCAGACAACATCCACGTGGAATCACAACTCAACTTTAGAACATCAAACAAGTGCTGATGGTTGACACTGTCGTGGCCATTATGGTGCTCGCCGTCTCTTCACAACCCAGCCTTGGCCCTAGACAAACAGACATGCAGAAATACAGGCAGTATGTGGAATAGTTAAGTATTGGAAGAGGGCAAAGGTCTTTACCAGTCAGATGACAAAGCAAACTCACACCTTCCAAGATGTATTGTGTGTCAGAACGAACATCATTTCCTGCCTTCCAGAAACAGCTTCTCTGGTTCACTGACCTTCCTTTTCTTCTTGGGTCCTATTACCTCTTCCTGGCTAAAGGCAAGGTTCAGGTGGCTTATCTGTAAGAACCATCAGACACAGGGATCATTCTCATGATACAGGCTCCTGCTAGATGAGCCAAGAAATCCACCTTCCAAAACTACCATGTGTTTTCCTAGATCCTCTTGGGTTTGTTCAGTGTGACCCTGTTCTCCAGAAAAGCAATTAGGCAAGGAACCAAAACTGGAATACTGGATGGAATTGGGACTGTGAGATTTGTGAAGGCAACAGGTTCAGCTTCATGGACAGAGAAGGGTTTTGGTGGCACAAGGAACAGAAGCCACCTGCCTACCAGTGACAGAAAATAGCAGAAGTGAGGAGATCTTTGATGAATATAATAGCTTACATTATATTCCTGTGTCACTCACCTCAGGAAACCATAGAAGTATGTAAAAGAAGGGGGACATGTCAAATCTGCAGTCACTGAAGCAGCCCTTCAGGAGAAGGGCCTCTGTACATCAGAGAACTTCTACGTGAGTTGGTCACCTCGTGCTTCACAGACCACCTTGGAGTCTGTGAAACACAACTAAGCAAAGCAAGCTTCTTCCCAAAAGGCTTCATTTCCTTCCCTCTAGAAAGACACAAACCTCCCTCAAAAATATTCACAGGCCTAGGAACCAAAAGCTTAAAACTCACAGATAAAGAGATGTTAGAATACAAATGGGTCAGTGGTACAGGCAACTCAGACAGACCACAGAGATGGACAGCCCCAACAACAGTGGAAGTGTTGGCTGTGCCAAGGGACACACTCGTTATCACCCAACAGATTTCCATTTTTACAGTAATAATCCAGAGCTGCAGAGAGTTAACATGTGTTGTTGCCCACCCAGAAGGGACAAAACACAGAGTCTGGCAACGTAACCTCCCTGCTCTCACTGGAACTGAGCTGCAGGGACACATCACAGCACACCACTGCAGCTGGGCCTCTGAAAGAAAGTTCATCTGGAGGAAAACAAGGTGAACAAAGAGGGGAAATTGTGCTACTCGAGTTCCTGCTCCAAACCATGAGGGCCTTCCTCCAGTTTCACCATAAAACACAAGGAATCCCATAACTGGAGCAGGAAAAACACAAGGAGTTGACAAGGAGCTATTCCAGAAGGCATCCTGGAGACAAGCACAAGGTCTCCAGATTACAAGATGTGGTCAGTATAGAATTCCCCAGCCATGTTATCATGGTTTGCTTTCCATCTGACCTTGGTATGAGGCTTTGGTAATCTCTACATAGCAATGGTCTTTCTAAAGTGTGAAATAACTCTGATTATGGACTAACAGCAAAACAGTTTGAAACAACCACACTTTGCCTCTCTATCGTGTTTCAAACTGTTTTTCTTCCCCTCTTCCCTCCTCTTCATGATGAGCAACACGACGTTGCTTAACACCCAAAGTACCATTTCCTCTCCACAAAACCAGGGCAAAGCAGGAGCTGCCAAAGTGGGATGGGCAGGTTCTCCTTCACCCTGCAGGCTCAGGCTGACAGCCCTCCTAGGGCTGCCCAAGGCGTTATTGTTTGCCTGAGGAACGAGTGATGAGTGGGTCTGGGTGTTACAGCTCCTGACCTGGCACCCAGCTGCTCAGACTGGCACGGAGGGGGTTGTTTACTCTCCTCTCCCTGGCATCGTTTTACCTGTCTGCTTCCTTTTCTGAAGTCAAGGGCCCACAGGGGGGAAATGCTGCATCCAAAACCTCTCCACTGCACCCGTCTGCAAGGTTTGTGCTCTGTCCTGCTGGCCACACAATAAAGTGAAGTGATGAGCCCCAGTCTCTTGGCCCTCAGTCACCTGAATAAGGCAGCTCTCCTATTTTAGCCTAAACCACATCAAGAGAGCAGCAGCCAGAGCTGGTGCTTGTGTTTCCTCGTTTGAGGAACAGATCTGCTGCAGCATGGACAACTCCTCAGTATGGTGTTTACCCCTTTGCTGCTCCTCCTAAATTTTCTGCATGGATGGGATAGCTCAGAGGTGGGAGAAGCAGCCACCACGAGCAGCTGCTCACACTGAGTGTCCTGCAACTCTCCCGACGCCTTCGCCACAGGCAGTGTGACCACCTAACAGGAGCCTGAGATGAGAAGAGTGAAAACATCTGTGCAAGCCATCAAGGGCTCTAGACAAGCACTATTCACCTATTGAACAAATAAGTTGCTAACTGGGAAAAGTATTTCACTGAAGGCAACATGTCCTGTCCTGCCCCTGCCCAGCTACATGTTCACATGCGGGCTCAGAGCCAGGAACAGACCCCAGGTCCAACCTCCAGGTTCCATCCTTAACCAAACCCTCAGGCTTCTTCCCCAGAAATGTTGCTCTAAATGGGATTAAGTCAGATCCTACATGTGTTTATTTGACTTTAACCTGAAAGTAAACCTCTCAAAACGGTGTGGTGAACAGCAGGAAATCCCTCCCATTGACTAAATATACAATCAAAGCCTCCAGGAGTTGATGAGTTCTAATTTTTCCCATGTACTGGGATGCTTGGGTTTGAATAGCTGATGGGAGAGCTTCTGCTGTACCAGTGTTTTGTCTTCCACACTCACTAGAGGCCCTTGGCTCACTGGTGAGCCACAGGACAAGGTGCAGGCCCTTGCTGCTTACCCTGCAGAGGAACTGTGGGACCAGTCCAGAGCAAGCAGCAAAGACAGGGACAGGCTGTGACCTCCTGAATCACAGAACCATTCAGCTTGGCAAAGATTTATAAAACCATGGTGTCCAACTGTTCCCAGGTCCCCACTGCCCCATGTCCCTCACACCACATCTCCATGGCTTGGAAACCCCTCCAGGGATGGGGACTCCACCCCTGCCCTGGGCAGCCTGGCACAGCCCTGGGCAACCCTCAAGGGGAAGAAATTGTTCCTCAGCTCCAACTGAAACCTCCCCTGGGGCAACTTGAGGCTGTTTCCTCTTGTCCTGTGGCTTGTTCCTTGGGAGCAGAGCCCGACCCCCCCCTGGCTCCAGGCTCCTGTCAGGAGCGGTGGAGAGCCAGAAGGTCTCCCCTGAGCCTCCTTTGCTCCAGCAGCTCCTCCAAAGTCCAAGGCGTAGCTCTGGCTCTAGGTCACACCACGAACACACAGTGAGTTTCAATCTCCTGCTTTACAATGCTGCTCTACATGCAAAAAAAAGTAACATGCTGCTGCAGAATCCTTCTGTAAAAACACAGCTAACTTGTGAATCATACAAGTGTTTACTAATTTCTGGCATAAAACTAACAGGACAGCTGCACATTGTCTGGAGAAGATATCAGGCTAAAAATAGATTAGACTTAGATTAAAGCCTTCCCAAGGCAGACTGGTGGCTGAAACAGAGCGAGCAGACCACAGCTCCACTGCTATTCTTAGATAGACAAAATCAGGACCTAGTTTAGTGCTCTGCAATTTTCAATCCCCAGCGTCCCCACATATGCTGGCCAAAAATTCCCAGCATAAATCGAAGCAAATTTACAGCTCCTCTGACATGTGTTTTGCTTCCCAAAGCATCCTATGCAGCAAAGCTAAAATTGCACAAGAGCATTTGACTGTGTCCCTCTTTGTCCCCGGCCTGCCCCATGCTGGGCTTTGGCACTTGGCAAATTTCATGCCCTCAGAAGAGTTCCCTTGGTCAGGGACACAGAGTTTAGTTTGGTACCTTCACTACTACCCTCACAAATTCCAAGCCACATTGATGTCCAAAAAAGTCCAGTTCCATCAAGGGAGCTGGAAGAATAAGGACTGAGATACCAGATTTAACTACTGAAATAAGGCCAAATGATCCTCAGGTGTCAGGGCAATAAACGGTGTCTCCAGGGGACGTGATCATCATCAGGAACATCCATCAGAGGGAGCCTGATGCACCCGGCGAGTTCGGCTGACTCAACAGCACATCAAACACTTGCCACTGTTAAAAATCAAGCTAATGACTCCTCAAACAGATCCCCTAAGAGCTGGGGCACCCCCGGTGAGCAGGCATATCTCTGGTTTGAGGAGTAACTCCCTGAGAATTGGCTGCTTGTTGCTTTCCAAGCACAACACCAGACGAGGTCCACAAGGCACATCATGGTGTCCAGCGACAGGACAAGGGGAAATGGACACAAACTGAAATACTGGAAATTCCATTCAAATACAAGGACTAGCTGTTTTTTATTCTGAGGGCAATAAAACACCAGCACAAGTTGTCCAGGGAGGTTGTGGAGTCTCCATCCTTGGAGATATTCAACACCTGACTGAACGAGGTCCTGAGAAAGACGCTCCACTTCCTCCTGCTTTGCGCAAGGTTGGCAGTGCCCACCTCCAGCTGTCCCTCTGAGCCCAGCCACCCCGTGAAGGTGGCACAGTGGTTAAGAGCCTGACGCAGGGCTCAGCACCGCTCTCCTATCAGTTTCCAGTGAGGCGAGTGCTCTGACATCAGTGGAATCCATCCTGACTTCCACCCGTCCCAGGGGAGGAGAATCATGCTGACGAGCATGAAAGCCAAGTTACGCAGGTGGAAGGATGAAAGACACTCACAGTGGTGCTTCTGTGGAAACTTGCCACATTCTCGTCCCCAGGAAGCCATGCCAGCACATCACTGACTACCACTACTCCTCTTCCTTTTTAAAATCTCTGACATTCAACCCAGTTTCCTTTTTTGTGAACTGGAAACCTCCCAGGCCCACTCATGTGTCTTGGAGCATTTAAAGGACTAACAAACTGATTTTTCCAGAGTGTGAAAAAAAAATAAATTCTTCAGAAATTGGTGTTCAAAGAAAATTTATCAATCTATCTTTCTCTTCCTAATCTCCCCCAGGGCCCTTGATCTGTAGGCTGCTGTGCTGGCCACTCTGATTGCCGGCTCACAACCCAACATGCCTCCCAAAACCAGAAGCCTTCCCACACAAGATTACAGCTTTGCAATCGAGGAGGTGAAGAGTAATGGACACTCCTTCAGCCCATGAGGCTGCTACCCAGCTTCATCCCTCACGGGATATTAGCTCATTAAATCATTAAGAGGCCAGGGGAGCCCCAGCACTGATGGGAGGGCAATGGTTTTAAACTGGGGAGATTGGTGTTGGACAGGAA